AAGATTTTTAGTTAAAAGACAATCATATAAAAAACAGTAAAAAACAGTGTGTAAATAAAAAGTGTTGATCTCAAACTCCGTCAGTCTGACCTGAGTCACTCTCTGCTCCCACTCACTGATCTCAGGTCAATATTTATATGATCGTCTGATATCAGTTCATTTTTATATCTCACTGACAAACTGAAACCATCCAACGAGTTTCTGAAACAGAAATCATATTTTAATGAAGGAAACAGGATCAAAGCCGATCGACTGCTGATATGAAACATGTTTCTGATCCATGTCTGCTCTGCTCTGTCCACCTGATCAATACCAACAGTCTCTGATCACTGATCAGTGGAGCAGAACACGTTTGTGATCAATAACTAGGAAGCAGAGCTCTCTGATCTCTGATCAATAACAAATCTGTCTGTTTTAATCAATATGTATTTCATATGAAATAATAAAATAAGTGTCATTTAATTGATCACAAAAACAACTTAATGAATCTTCAGATTGTGTTTTTATTTTTCTTCTTGACCGTCTGTCGTCCTCCATTTCCTGTCACCAGCAGAGGAAAGTAACTGAGTACATTTACTCATGTTCTGGACAGCTTCAGGTACTTCACTGACTATTTACATTTTCAGCGTCTTTGGACGACCATGTACTACTTGTACTTTTTCCTGGACTGCACTGATGTAATAACTTTACTTTCTAGTTACTTTGCAGATTCAGATTATTAATACAAAATATAATCAACAAATAAAAGATGACAAACAACAGTTAGTTCTGACGGAGCGATCTGATTGGACAGGAGTCATCACATGAGTGCTGATATACAGTATAACAGACCTGAGACTGTTAACTCTGCAGGTATCACTCCGCCGTACAGCTGCTCTGACACCTTCATTATGTTCACTGTTAATTAGCCACATTAACAAACTTGGCGTCGCACAGAGGAACACATTCCTACAAATAACACCTGAGTTAAATAATGAACGCTCAGAAAAGGACAAACATCAACAACAGACGCACCCTGCGATATGTCAGGAATCAGTCCAATCATTTATCTTATTTTGAAATTCTGCATAATGAGTACTTTTACTCTTCGTACCTTTAAGTATATTTTAATGCTGATACTGTTTGTGCAGAGTATTTCTGCTCTGTGGTGTCACTACTTTAACTGAAGTAGAAGATCTGAGTACGTCTTTTACCTCTGGTTAAATCTGTCTGTCACACACACACACACACACACACACACACACACACAAGGTGAAACTGAGCTCCGTCTGAAACGTGACGACAGGAGGGATTCCTCAAACTACAGTCGGACTGCGTTAAAGAGAAAAACGTGCAGGAAAAGTGCCGTCACTCAAACTGTAACCAGAGGAGGAGTGTTGCTGCTGGAGAGGAAACACACACACACACACACACACACACACACACACACAGAGTGATGAAGAGCAGCACATGGCCGGGCTGTCTGAGGGTTTGTGTGAAACCATTAGACGACCATCAGTGAGCTGCACTTCACTGCAGCACGCACATACACACACACACACACACACACACACACACACACACACACACACAGGATCCAAAACAACAGAAAAAGATGAAACAGAAGAATGAAATAGTAACGGAGCTGCGACACAGCTCAACACAGACGCTTTTATTGTGAAGGAGTCACAGAAAACACAACGTATTCGTCCCGAGGTTAAAGATGACAACATTCGTTCATTCAAAACATCATTTTGGTGTTTGTTTGTCAGATGATGATGATGATATGATGGAAAACAGGAAATTTACTGACTGACTTCTTTTTCTAAACGTGACTTTGTTTGGCTGCACTGTAACACAGCAGCTGCTCAAACACTGTTTGCTGCAGATAGAAGCTCTGACCTGTAGAACGAGGATCAGCTTTAAATGACGCAAAAAAGAAAACAATTTAGTGTTTGTGAAAAGACGACTTCAAATTTTAGACTTTGCCGTTTCAGCTTCCTGCTGAGGGCACAAACTCAGGAGGTCATGGCGTGTTTACAGACGCTCACAAATCTCAAGAGTTGGTCTGAAGAGCATCAACAATACTGTGAATTAACAAGACAAGACTGTATCCATTAAACCTGGGTTCAGATGACTTGAGTGTGTCGCACTCGTCTACTGTAGCTGGATCTCACTGACTCGGTGATGTGGAGACAAGTCATGAATCACACGTTATCTCTAAGCTGTAGGGGAAGAAAACGCTCTGGCTTATTTTTATTTCTTTAAACCAATCACAGTCGTGTGGGGCGGAGTTAAGATCAGGATCCAGTGATTGAGCGTTTGCAAAGCAGAGTCAGGACTTGTGTTGGTGGAACATTTGCACATGCGGAGGCGAGTTCTGTCTTTGAAATGACCCCACAACATGAAACGCCACAGAAACATGAACAGTGATCTGTGTCTGTGTGATTCAACTGATGAACAACTTTAGCTCTGGAGGCGGAGCCTGACTTTACTTTAGCTCTGGAGGCGGAGCCTGACTTTACTTTAGCTCTGGAGGCGGAGCCTGACTTTACTTTAGCTCTGGAGGAGCTCAGATGACCTGCTGGCTGTACGAGCAGAACTTTATTAGGACGATGTGACAGCAGCTGGTGTGAAGTGGAACAGATCTGTACATTAGTGAAGTCAGAGTCACCGGAGCTGCTGCTGCTGTCAGAGTTACAGACGAGACAAATCAACTGCGACTGTCAGGAAACAGATCGACATCAGGAGAATCCTGAGAGACAGTCTGGGCGTTTGTGAGCTGCGTTCACTAGTTGTTTTATTTGTTGTAGATCTTTACAACTATTCACTGAAACAAGAAATCAGGCAGGACTTACTGCACGATCCAAGCCTTCGTCAAAACTTGATATTTCAGCGAGAACGTTTTTAGCTCAGAGGTTGTTTCCCGTAGTGAAGAGGATGTAAAAACGGTAACACGCAGATAGCAGAAGGAAGGGAGTATGCCAGCCAAAGGTTTATAACCACAGTCTACATCTGCTGAGTCAGATCAATACTTTGCTTAAATGAAGCATCTGTGTTAGTTTAGTTTTCAGGAGATTCTGTATAACTCACCACCACATTACACATAACTTTCTCACTCTTTACAAGACAGAAACTTGTATTTACGACAACTCTAACATGACCTGAACGCAGAGTAAAGTTTCACTGGGAACGTTTCAACACTGCGTCACTGTAAAAACCCTCAAACTATTTTCTTTCAGAGAAACTGGATGGCCCTGCACTTGTATACTGCTTTGCTAGGCCTTCAACCACTCAAAGCAGGTCTACATTTCAAGTCACATTCACACACTGGTGTCTGAGGCCACCGTACAAGGTGCCTACACAGTTTTCTTAGACACACAATGGTACAATCATAAGGAGCAATCTGGGTTTCAGTATCTTGCACAAGTGTACTTCCACATGCAGACTGGAGGAGCCGGGGATCAAACCGCTGATCTCCTGATAAGTGGACGACCTGCTGTGCCTCTGAGCCACAGCCCCACTTAAATCCTAACATCCCAACATCAGCAGTGTCTGTCGTATTGACTGCCACATCAGACACAACTTTCTGACTCTGTACAGACAGAAACCAGAAATTACAACAACTCTAACATGACCTGAACGCAGCGTCAGGTCTCACTGAGAACGTTTCAACACTGCGTCACTTTAAACCCCTCAAAATATTTTCTTTCAGAGACACATCTGCAGATAGTCTTCATGCTGAGTCCAACAGTGAACGTGTCTCCTAACACAGAGATACTCAACCTGCTCTGCTCGGGGGCCACTTTGCAGGATGACAGGAGTCCAGGGGCCCGTTCATAAACAAACATTAATATTCTTCATCAGGATTAATGAATCACCTGTTTTTAATTTTGCAACATTTGCTGTCCTCACTCGTCTCTGTCGAGAGAAAGATCCAGTCACAGGTCAGCTGCACACAGGGGCGCTCCTAGACACCACTGGGGGCTCAGCCTGGACCCCTGTAACCTTATTTACATTCAATGTACAAAAATATTCTCAATGTGAATCCATTAATATTTTATTTTGAATCTTAAAATTGTCGGCACCTTGTGACGGGCCACATTTGGCCCACAGGCTGCAAGTTGAGTATCACAGTTACTGTGTGTATCTACGGCTCGATGTATCGACACTGTTAAACATCATCGTCATCAACACACACACACACTGTACTGTATTTACACACCGTCCTGCTGACACTGACACTCACTACAGCACCAGACGTGGATTAATCCGCTGCTGAAAATAGTCCCCAACACATCTCCTCCTGTTAGTTTGACAGAAGTGACAGTGATCAGCTGTTTGACCAACGAGCTCAGAGCTGAGACACAGAGACAGGAAGTCAGACCAGACAGAACAACGATAGATCACAGCTGACATGCAACAATCGCCATGACTCGACCTACGTAAAAAAAACTGGCCGACACTTTTTACTGAAGCATAAACACAACTTTGAAAATGATCAAACATTAAAGAATTAAAACTTCCAACAGGAAAGAAAAGAACCACATTCAGTCAGTGTGCGACCACAGAGGCAGAAGGTGAGTGAATATTAATGAGCACTGTGTGTGTGTGTGTGTGTGTGTGTGTGTGTGTGTGTTTCTGGATGCTAACCACTGTTAATAGCAAACACACAGGACTTCATCACTAATTCATACCGCCGGATTACGTCAACCTCAACACACACACATGCACACACGCGTGCACACATGCACTCACACATGCACACACACACAAACACACACTCAGACTTATCTATTTTTGTCCACCCTCCACCTCTACCTGTGATTCTATTTTTTTCTACTTTTTTTCTGTCCTGAATCGCTGCGGTTGCTCCAAACAACTCAGACCTGTTCTGTCTGATTCTACTCTATCTGATTCTACTCTGTCTCATTCTACTCTATCTGATTCTACTCTACTCGACCCTGTTCAGTTCTACCCTCTCCATGCTGTTGTTCCACTTCTGTCCTCTTCTTTCCTACCTTCTGTTTTCCCTCCGGTTGTTCTTCCTCCTTCCTCTCTGATCCCTCTCTCCTCTCCTCTCCTCAGCTCTTTACGTTAAGTTTTTCTACTCTGACTCTATCTCCTCCTCCTCCTCCTCCTCCTCCTCCTCTTCCTGGTCCAAACTCTTCCCTCCCTCCACCCCTCTGTCCCGTCCTGCTCCTGCTCTCCACTCGACTTCTTCGCTCCCTTCTCTTTCTATTCTCAGCAGCAGCAGGAAGCGCTTTGTATCTGGAGCAGTTTTCATCCTACTTACCACAGCTGATGATGATGGTGGAGGTGATGAAGATGATGATGAAGGTGTAGAAGAAGAAGTACAAGAAGAAGAGGATGTAGCAGGTTGTTGTTTTTTTGTTCCAGGTAGTAACAGGACGGACGGACGGATGCAGGAGAGATGGAGGAGTAATAATAAAAAGAAGAGGAGGAGGAGGAGGAGGAAGAGGAGGAGTGTTGTATTACTGTCTCAGATCAGTCCTGCTCTGCTGCCGCGGCAACGACCACATCTCCTGTCATCCTCCTCTCTCTCTCTCACACACACAGTCTCTCTCTCTCTCTCTCTCTCTGGCTCCACCTCCCATTCGCTCGCTCGACCCTCCCCTCCGCCTCCTTTTTCTCTTTCTCTCTGTTCGTTGTCACTCTCATCTTCCTCCTCCTCCTCTACTTCTTTCCCTTGTGTCCCTCCCTTTTCTCTCCACACACACACACACAGTAACACACACACACACACACTGTAACACACACACACACACACACACACACACACACAGTAACATACACACACTGTAACACACACTCTGTGCTCCACATTAAACAGACTGATGGGAGTTTCATGTTGAGAGAACAGACACAGACACAGAGCAGGTCACTACATGTGATGATGCAACAGAGACGTTAAATATAAACTAATCTGGAGTCAGTGAACTTTTCTTCTTCTTCTCTACTTTATAATCTGCTATTTGGAACAGAGAGATTAAATTTAAAATAAACAAGTATAAATCACTTTCAGAAAGAAACTAATGTCTTATAATGATATTTGTTTCATTCATTTATTTTCCAGATCAGCTTCAACTGTTCGCGGTCACAGTGGAGCCAATGTTGATATCAGGAAGTAAAAAATTCCAATATATCAATATTGACAAGAATGTTTTTCCTCAGGTGCAGACCTTTATATTAACATCATAAATCAACATTAATACAGGCTGATAAATAACATTAAAACCAGCTGGACGGCCTGTTGAGCTTCAGACTGACACCAAACATTCTCTGTAATATGAACAAGACACTGGTAAAGAAAAGAAGACTTAACTAATGTTTGTAATTCGATCAGTGTTGATGAAGCAGGACTTGTTGATGTGTGACGCACGTCCTCCAAACTGTGCATCCTCTCTTCAGGAGCTGAAGGCAAATTATTTCTGTCTATTTTTCTAAAAGAAAATTGACTGAGAAACAAAAAGTACGTAAGTGTCTAATGTTCAAATTAAGAGACTAACGTTTTATCAAACTTCTGAGCGCGCTCCAAAGTCTCCACACAACACCCAGTTTCCCAACAATACTGTAGTATTGACTATTAAGGGAGAGTTAGAGTCACCAATTAACCTGCATGTCTTTGGACTGTGGGAGGAAGCTGGAGCACCTGGAGGAAACCCACGCTGACACGGGGAGAACATGTCGGAGCACCTGGAGGAAACCCACGCTGACACGGGGAGAACATGTGGGAGCACCTGGAGGAAACCCACACTGACACAGGGAGAACATGTCAGAGCACCTGGAGGAAACCCACACTGACACAGGGAGAACATGTGGGAGCACCTGGAGGAAACCCACACTGACACAGGGAGAACATGTCAGAGCACCTGGAGGAAACCCACGCTGACACAGGGAGAACATGTCAGAGCACCTGGAGGAAACCCACGCTGACACAGGGAGAACATGTCGGAGCACCTGGAGGAAACCCATCCTGGGGTTCGAACCAGGAACCCTCTTCCTGTGAGGCAACAATACTAAATAAATTACATATTATTGCATCTGAAGTATGGAGTGTGGACGGGCAGCTGGAAAGGTGCCGGTTCACTTCTTGGGCACTGCTGAGGTGCCCTTGAGCAAGGCACCAGACCCCAATCTGCTCAAGGCACCTGACCAAGGGCAGCCACCTCTCTCTCTGACATCTCCTCATTTAATACATGTATAGGTCTTGTTTGTGTATGTGTGTGTATTTCAGGCCTGTGTGAATGTGTAAAATCTAAAAAATAAAAACAGAGTGAAAAAACTGAATTTACTTTTGAGGCACGAATAAACGGGATACTTACTTTTTTTTCACAAAACAAAACTTATTTCACATATTTACTTATGTCTTGTTAAATTATGACGTTTGCAGGAACACGTATGATTAAATTTACTTCTGTATTTTGACAGAAGTATGATCATGTTCTCATATTAATTGTTGTGTATTGTTTCATTTGCGTAATTAACTTTTTGTCTCGTGAAATAAAAATGTTATACTCAAAATATCACAATTTTTTTCCACCAGTTTAAAATGTTCTATCCTCAGTACTGACGCTGATACTTTTTTAAATTCATGGCTGATGTTTGTTTCAGTTGAATCAAACTTCGTCACTGTGGGAGAAAAACAACTGATTGAAAATATTAAATAAACATTATGATGTCAACACTGAATTCATCACGTTTAAACTGAGTCGTCTGTGAAACGTGTCGGAGGTCAAGTTTCTTTTGTTCCCTCGGAGACGTGAAGGGAACTCAATCAGCTTAAACACTTACAGAGACAAAACACTGCAACACACACACACACACACACACACACAAACACACAGGAGCTGTGTACTTAAACATTTAGACAGCAAAGTGAAGCTCAACAACAAACAGCTACACGTGATGCAACAAACGTTTCTTCATCTATATCTGTCGTATTTTAATGTAGTTATTTTTGTGATGTGGCACCTGACAGATTTAAAATGATTCTTATTTTCAGGTGATGAAAGAAATGAAACTGATTCTATCACAGACATATTAATTTATCTATGGTGGCCCGACATGTTCACAGCAGAGGCCACTGCATATCAATGTTTTTTATTTCTGGAGCTGGACAGTTCATGAGGAGCACTGTTGAGTATACTCTGCTCCAAAAACTGACAGGAACAATTAATGGTCACAGTAAACGTAACCATGTGTGTGTGTTGGCTAAACGTAACCACGTGTGTGTGTT